CCCCAAAACCCCAAAACCCCAAAACCCCAAAACCCCATCCCCATCCTTCACAGTTGAAACCCTCTTTTTATTCCCAAGCAAAAAACATTTGTTCTGTGTAGACAATTTGGTAAAGACTTAGCCAGAATTATGGAGTATGGGAGGACCTGGAGGGAAGTATTGAACCTCTCAATTCTTTTTACCTATTTTAACATCTTAATGTATAATCTTACCTTATTTTCTCTAAAATTCTTTGTCTAAATCAATTCTATAATATGAGCTCCTCTCTTACATCCTCACCACCTCCTTTAAATAAGCCTTGTGCCCCTCCTTTGTATAATCTTCAATTATAACTCCCGCTACTAATAATCAGAATATTATAAACATCAAACCTAATCAGACTTTAATACATCTACACACCTTTTGTGCACTACAACAGGTCCGCATAAATACATAGAATATCAGAACTACACCCACAAAGCATCCAAATGGAGTCCAAATCACTTCTGTGGTCAGAAATCTGATGAACTCGAACACGCCTGAAATACAAGAACCAATAAATGAAAACACAGCCTGGAGTGACTCTCCAAGCCAGTTAAAGAAGGGACTGGGTGTGTCGGGATAAGAGTGTTGGGTATGAGTGCTGGTCTTTTTGAGCAGATTTAGTATTTGGTTTGTGCGTTGTGTCAGTTTAGAAAATTCTGAAGTGTAGGTTGTTTTGGGTAGGTTTTCTAAGTGTTGGAGAGTTTTTTGGAGTTTTGAATTATTTGATTTAACAGTGGTTTGGATTTGGGAAGTAGTTTGTGAGAGTAGGCTTTCAAAAATTTGTTTTAGCTGTTGATACGAGGTTTGTTCTTGTATTCTATCTAAGGTTTGTTTTAGCATTTTATTAGAGTCTTTCTTGAGTATTTTGCTCAAACTTCTTGCTTCATTCAGGATCTCAATCTGGAGTTTTGATGGATCTCTTCCTAATTTATCTGTTAATGAATTATCTATCATCCTAGCTATTTCTAGATCGTCTTCATTTTTAAGCTTTGATTCGTTTCGAATAATTTGGAACATTTTGTCAAATTCTAAATTGTAAAAATTAATAAAGTTCTGAGGATTTGTGATAAATCAATTACATAAAATTGTGAATAAAGTAATTAAGAGTTGTTTTTCTTAATAAAAGAATATGAAAGCAAATTTTCACTTAGCATGAGTGAATAAGAAGAATCAAAATTGCTTTAAATATTAAATCTTGACTTTTGATCCCACTAATACTATCAATCATTTTCCAAATCTCATTTTCTCCTTTCTCAAGAATGGAACATCTAGGTTATTCTTGGAAGCTAAACTATATATGCATTGAATTAATATTCCTCAATTAAATTCTAACAGAATTTAATGATAGAATCTTTAAGAGTATAGAGCCTTTTCCCTCTGTTGCTAAATATTCAGTACGAACTTGGGATAGATTTAGGACTCAAACAGACACAAAGAGGTTTCCTTAAGTTCATTGATTTAGGTTTTACATTAAAAAATTTGAAAGAAATTTCAGAATTCAGATAAAGCCTAGGGAAAGAACAGGTGAGAATAATCCCACCTGAAAGGGAGAGATGCTTCAATAATTTACCTTATAAGGCAGAATCATTAGAATTTTATTGGGGTTAAAGAATGAACAATATGGTAAGAGACACACTGAGTCTTTCATATAAAGCATATAAAAATTACAGTCTTGAGTCTCATAATATCGAGCAAAGTAAGAGAGTTGGTTGGAGTACTCTACCTATTCTATCTTTGTGGAAAAATAACGATATATGTTATTCTCTACGAAATTACACTTGGAAAAGATATAACAGAACCCTACTCTATCTGAGAAGGAAATCATTGACGATAATAGGTTGGATTATGTGAATTTTAAGTCTTCGAATATTCTCATTGAATTAGTTGCTTGAAAAACCAAAGGTATTGCTTACTTTCATCAATAACTTCTTTGAAATGATCAAATGTAGTTCTATAGCAAAATTAGTGTCAACTTTTGTTTTCAAAATGGCTTACTCATTTGCATTGGACTCATGGAAATCCTCTTTTGTTACTTGCCTAAATTTCTCAGTGATAGTTTGTTCATTATGAAATAAAGGATTTACTGAGGAATTTTCACTTAGATTAGAATTTCTTGGTAAACTCAGATCAATAGTAGCATTCAGAGCAAAGTCTGAAGTATTATATTCGTAATTTTTAGATCTTGATTTATAAAATGAAGAATCGAAGCAAATGAGAGCTGATGAATTTTTAAGAATCGTATCCAAAATCATGCACTTATACTTATAAATAGTCTTTTTGAGATGGAAGAGATATTAAATAAAAATAATGAGCATTCATTTTTGAAGATATCAAATTTGAAAACACTTAGAGCAAGAGGAAGGTAGAGAACATTAAGAAGATCCTTAGTCAATTAATATTTCATAGTTGATTTAGGTATCTTACTCCTAAATTTAATTTAATACTACTATTTTATCAATTTAGGTTTGTTTTGCTTCCTATTAATTCTATCTGCTGATATTTTATACTAAGTCTATTGTCCTCTAGCTTTAGTTATGCAATGAGTAATATAATTCTCTGAATAATTTAACTTTTGCATAGCCCTAAGCTGAGAAGATTTCTAAGAGACAAGGGAAGTATTTCAAACATATCTGTAATGATATAGCTCCCTCTTTGAGGTGACAAATGTTAAATTCAGAAATAGTAACTTACTTGAGTATTGTGTTGTTGTTCTGCATTTTATCTTGACATCCTATGAAAATTTAATCAGAGGGTGAGAATTTATTAATCAGAAAATACTTTAAAAGTGCAAGATATGAAAAGAATTTGGCGTTTAAAGTTGTTAAGAAAAGAATCTAGTAAGCTTAAGAAGGCCGATGACTCAAAAATATTATGAAGTAATGTTCGGATATCTAATGACTCTGTATGTATAATAAGTCTTGATAAAAACAGATTATGAAATCTTTCTTTAGAGTACCCAAAGATACGAATAATTTTCTAAAAATATCTCCCAAAAACTAAACCTAAGATTCTCAAAAATATCCTTACTTTTCCAATCCTCCTCTCTATCTAATGACCCTAATGATGTCCCAAAGGGATAAAAACATCCCACAGATACTAGCAAGAGCACCAATAGAAGAGAGGGAACGATTAAGAGCTTGTAAAAAGAGTGTTCAGACTTGAGTTTTTGGAGTTCAAGACATTTCGTATGGAGGATTTCGCGAGAGTGTTTTTGGGCTAGAAGGTGAGGAGGAGGGTTACTAGATGAGATTTGGGGTGCTTGAGAGTATTGAGTGATGATTTTGGCAATTGTGGTGATCTCAATGGAGATTTGATCTTTTTGTAATTTCTCAGCAAGGCTATGAGGAAGAATATTAATGGAAGAGAAAATTGCTATCTTTGAATGTATTCCTCTCACTTACTTAATTAGATCTTTCTTTACATTATACGCATTGACAAGATCAAACATTTCAAGAGCAATATCCTTCCTCTCAACTACATAAAAAGTCAACACTAAAATCCTTCAAAACAAAAAAGATTCTCACTCACCAATCCTCCTAAAATCATCATATCATTCATCTAGCCAAGCTTTCCTTAACTCAAACTCCTTCAACTCACTCCTAAACCCCTCTTCATCCTCTCTATACCCCATCTCCAGTTCCTCCTTCAACCCATTCAACAACCCACTAACTTCCCCTATCCCACCTCCTCCCCTGACCTCTCCCTTAGTCTAACCCCTCACTGCCTTAACCCTTCCTCTTCCTATCAAAATCTCAAAATCCCAGTACAAATCTGTAGAATTTCTACTAAGATTTGAGAGATTGGGGTTTTGGGGTTTTGGGGTTTTGGGG